AAATCGCTAGTCCTTTTTACTTGTCCAATTTAACGTTTTTTTGTTGCTGCTGTTATAGTTCAAGTTTACATCAGCTGATGGATACGCTGTTTTCTGTCGCATTACAGGCCAACACATGACTGACTGAGTGAAAGTACAACGAGTTAGAAGGTGCAGAATAAGCGCTCAACTAGTTAATCCGACATCACAACCCTTTTTAAATCTTTTTGTCTATGAATAATAAATTTCCGGTCCTGTGATTTAGCCCTAATCATATGTCGAAGCAAATGGCACTGCACGCTGTTGAACCGTCGTTCTTCTTTTAAGCAATTCCATCCAAGTCTGACTTGACAACAATAATATAGCAAAACGAAAATGGTTTTCGTTGTTTTTTTAATTGGTCTTTCAGTGCTTTGCGGAACTGGAGACAGTTAAAAGTTTGGAGTGTACGCTCATCTCAACTTTGAATATTTGGTATAAACGAACTGCTCGAAGCCTTATCAAAGGAAAAGATCTGCATGAGTAATAGACTTTTGCTTAGTCTGGAAAAAATTGTAGGATGATTTCTCCCTTCGAAACTCGAAATAAAATGAAGATAATTTGTTTGTGATGCCGCTAACCATGCAATCAGCATGCGTCAACTTCAGGTCATCTGCAGTACGCTTTAGGTATGAGCTTAAAAGGTCGTTTAATTAGAGAAAATTTGTACTTTCGTATATCCATGAGGAAAGGCAATATTAACTGCAATTTTCAGGTAATCTTATACAAGCAACAAACTTTGAACATGAATTAGGTGGTGTTGCTCGATCAGCTGATCGAGATTACTGTATTGAAAATCAGTTAACAAAGTAGCGAATCATGTTTAAATACCCTTGTAATCAATGGTTATTTGATTTTCGTATAAGTGAAATTTGTTTTAGAAATGTTATTATTTATAAGAAATGTCTCATTTAATCTACCATATTAGATTATTATTTGAACAGATTATTTCAAAGATATTTATTGATCCTGATTACTTTGCCTACTTATACTGTAGCAA